TACCATATCTCCTGCTTAGGTTAAATGGTCTAGATAATACATAGTCCTGCCATGAGTGCAGGGGTTTCTCTACACGCACACACACACACACACACACACACACACACCGTCTGTCAAAGTGTTTGCAACCCCTCCCTTTACACTCTCTCGCTCTCTCTCTATATATATATATTATAGCTATAGAAAGTCCTGAAACAGATTACAGCCCATAAGTTGTTTTTATTGCCAAAACAATCTTCGGTTTATTCAATGTTTCACCCGTTAGTCCAAGCAAAAGGTCAGCTTTTTTGTGTGTTTTTTTCCCCACAGTTGTTTTGGAATGAATTCCATAATGTAAGGTATAACAAGGGAAGTCTCACCCCCCCAAAAAAATCCTGTTGATAAACTTTGTAAAGGTTATTTAAGCAAAACTGTTTTATTTTGATATTACAAACAGGCTAGGGGTTCTGCTATAGACCATGAAGTCAGGAGGAAGAAGTCAATGATGCATTACTATAACAAATATCCAAAACACAAGACCTGGTAGTAATGGGGCACTTCAGCTACCCAGACATCTGTTGAAAAAGCAATACAACAAAATGCAAAAATCTAAAATACATTCTTGGAATGCACTGCGGACAATTTCATGTTTCAGAAGGTGGAAGAAGTACCCAGGGGGAGGTGCTGCAACAATTTGAGACTTGATATTGAATAACAATGACGAGTTGGTTGTGAATCTGAAGGTGGAAGGCAACTTGGGTGAAAGTGATCATGAAATGATAAATTCATTGTTTCTAAGGAAAGGAAGGAATGTGTGAGAGCAGCAGAATAGGGACAACAGACTTTAAAAAAAAACCCCAGACTTTAACAAACTCAGAGAACTGGTAGGTAAGGTCCCACAGGAAGAAAATCTAAGGGAAAAAGGAGTTCAGGAGAACTGGCAATATCTCAAAGAGACCATATTAAAGGCACAACAGCAAACTATCCCAATTAAAAGGAAAGTAAGGAAGAATAATGAGAAGCCAATATGGCTGTATTTGGAGTTCTTTAATGTCTGGAAATAATAAAGGAATTCTACATGAAGTGGAAACAGATTTTTCAGGATGAGAACCAAATAATAGTTAAGTATGGATGGATGGAAAAAATCAGAAAGGTTAAGGCACATAATGAGTTACACTTAGCAAGGGGCACAAAAGTCAATAAGAGGAGGTTTTATAAATACATTAGGAACAAGAGAAAGACAAAATAAAATGTAGGTCCATTACTTAGCAGGGAAGAAGGGATAATAGATGACACCAAGAAGGCTGAGATGTTTGTCTATTTTGCTTCAGTCTTCACTAAAAAGATTAGTTATGACCCGATGCTTAACACAGTACCAGGCAAACTGGTTGAAACTAAATTGTCAGACACATAGATGAACATAATTTGTTGGGGAAGAGTCAACTTGGTTTACTTAAAGTGAAATCATGCCTCACCAATCTACTAGAATTCTTTGATGGGGCCAACAAGCATGTGGACAAGGGGGATCCAGTGGCTATAGTACTTAGATTTTCAGAAAGCCTTTGACAAGGTCCCTCACCAAAGGCTCTTAAGCAAAGTAAGCTATCATGGGATAAAAGGGAAGGTCCTCATGGATTGGCAACTGGTTAAAAGATAGGAAACAAAGGTTAGGAATGGTCAGTTTTCAGAATGGCGAGTGGTGGATAGTGGTGTCCACCAGGGGTCTGTACAATCCTATTCAACATATTCATAAATGATCTGGAAAAAGGGGTAAACAGTGAGATGGCAAAATTTGCAGATGATACAAAACTACTCAAGATAGTTACGTCCCAGGCAGACTGTGAAGAGCTACAAAAGGATCTCACAAAATTGGGTGACTGGGCAACAAAATGGCAGACGAAATTCAATGTTGTAAATGTAAAGTAATGCACGTTGGAAAGCATAATCCCAACTATAGATATAAAATGATGGGGTCTAAATTAGCTGTTACCACTCAAGGAAGAGAACTTGGAGTCATTGTGGATAGTTCTCTGAAAACATCCATTCAATGTGCAGCAGCAGTCAAAAAAGCTAACAATGTTGGGAATCATTAACAAGGGATAGATAAGAAGACAGAAAATATCATATTGCCTCTATATAAATCCATGGTACACCCACATGTTGAATACTGTGTGCAGATGTGGTCGCTTCATCTCAAAAAAGAGATACTGGAATTGGAAAAGGTTCAGAAAAGGGCAACAAAAATGATTAGGGGTATGGAACAGCTTCTGTATGAGGAGAGATCAATAAGACTGGGACTTCTCAGCTTGGAAAAGAGAAGACTAAGGGGATATGATTGAGGTCTAGAAAACCGTGACTGGTGTGGAGAAAGTAAATAAGGAAGTGTTGTTTACTCCTCATAACACAAGAACTAGGGGTCACCAAATGAAATTAATAGGCAGCAGGTTTAAAACAAAAGGAAGTATTTCTTCACACAACGCACTGTCAACCAGAGGAACTTTGCCAGAGGATGTTGTGAAGCCCAAGACTATAACAGGGTTCAAAAAAGAACTAGATACATTCATGGAGGATAGGTCCATCAATGGCTATTAGCCAGGATGGGCAGGGATGGTGTCCCTAGCCTCTGTTTGCCAGAAGCTGGGAATGAAAGACAGGGAATTGGATCACTTGATGATTACCTGTTCTGTTCATTCCCTCTGGGGCACCTGGCATTGGCCACTGTTGGAAAGCAGGATACTGGGCTAGATGGACCTTTGGTCTGACCCAATATGGCCATTATGTGTTCTGCCATCTCAGACCAATTCCCATTAGTTTGTTTTAGAGGGTTTTTTGTACTGTAGACCCACTACTAAGAAACATGAAATGATGGTGCTCTAGTTCAAAACAAAAAAGAACCCCCTCCCAGCCAACCCCCATTTTCAGGTAGTTTCAGACCAAGGTTAACATTTTCCATTCAGCCCTGCTCTGAAACGTAACTATTCAGTAGCTGCTCTGCCTTCATAGCAGCAAATTCCATTGATACAATTGTTATACTGTGTAGGATCTGCTGGGTTTTAGAACTCTGTAACAGTGTGTGTCAAATAGAAGCAAGAAGATGGCATTGGGCAAGTCACTTAACCTTCAGTCTCTTCACTGCTAAAATGGGGGGTAATCCATAGCTACCTCACAGAGATACTTCAAGGCTTAATGGACTCATAAGTGTTTTCAAAACATTTTGAAGCTTAAAAGTCCTGGAAGTGATAAGTATCAGTTGTAAGCATCCACTTTATATTAGAGCCTGAAAAAAAAATCTATAGAAAGAACAGATCACTATAATATTTGCTGAAGCATTTGGCATAATTTTATTGTATAGAATGTAGGTGTTCTAGAAGAGGGAGAAAAATAGGGGAGGTTATTATTAGCACATTATGACTGATTCAAACCAGTTTTGGATACTGTTGTAATTTGTTTTTATAGAGAGAGAATCATGCAGCACGTTTGTGTTTTACATGCAGATTTCTTGTTTAATCAGCTCTAACTGCTGAAGTTATAGCTCCATTTCATATCAAATTGAAGTAGAGCAAAATAGTATTCTAATGAATAGGAGCAAAATTATCATTCAGAATTGTTATCCATTGGGAGATTACAAGGTGAGTTTAATGGTGTTATAGATGTCCCTGACTTGAAGTCTGTTTCATTTAAAGGTAATGGATTAGGGATTGGTGTTTCCTGGATGTTTCCATGGGATAGCTGTGAGAATTCACATGGATCATGTTGTGATACAATAAACTGGAAACCTAAAAAAAAAATTGAAATATTGGTCAGAAAAATCTGTGAGAGGTAATATAGATATTATTTAAACTAACTGTCCCACAGTTACACTTTGACCTATCATAGTTCTTTTCTCTTTACAATATTCATACATGTAACTTTAAAAACAAACAAACATATAATGCTGTTTTAAAATAACAAAGATTAAACTCAAACTCAGCACACTTGAATAACCCTGCTTAAAAAGTTCTGTTTGTGTTAGCGAGATGGAGGAAATTAGGATGAACAAAAACAACTTTAGGAAACATACCTTGCTAGCAGTGCTTTATTTTTTCTTTTATTCTATACCATTGTTAAAAAATCAAATGCAAATACAGTCTAATTTTCCAACAATGAAAGATATTCCCCTTTTCTCCCCCACAAGACTAAATTGTGGGCCAAATTCTACTTTCCCAGGGGAAAAGCGTCATGCGTCTGACGAAGTGGGTATTCACCCACGAAAGCTTATGCTCCAATACATTGTTATTCTATAAGGTGCCACAGGACTCTTTGTTGCTTTTCCCAGTGGAGTAACTCCTTAGTAAATCTATAGAACTCAACAGAGTTATTCTGGACTTACACAGTGCAAATGAGAGCAGAATTTGGCCCTTTATTTGTATCTTGGCCTTCTTTTGACTTGTCCCACCACCCTCCAATCTTCTATGAGATGGTGCATATTAATACAGCCCAGGTCACTGCATAATGTCTAAATATAGCGTCATTGTGAGCTGCTTTGTCAAGATGGCCAATAAACAGAAGAGTGGTTCTTGCTGACTTAACTAAAGCTTTGTCTACACACAACAGTTTCACAGATTTAACTAAAATTGTTTTTAAATCAATTTTGTTAAATCAATTGAAACACCTGTGAGGGCACACATCAGTTTATAACTGGTTTATATCAATTTAACTTTGGATTCCCTACTGCTTCAGCAACTGTGTTTCTGTCACTGGAGCAGTGGTAGCATAAGGGAGATATTTTTACATTGTTTTCTCTGATGACAGCATTACTGTTAATTAAAAATACTCAAGGCTTTTTATTTGCGTCGTACAATCATTTTAATATTAGTCATCAATTTTAGTAAATTACATTAAAAAAAACCCCACAACCCTGACCTCTTCCAGAATCGGTGGAAAAATCAAATTTTTTATACATTCCATTGCACTATCCAATCTCTCTTTACTAATGGCTAGATAATGCTGCCAGTACTAAAATGTCCTTGTAATTTCTAAATGGATGACAATTTCCTAACTTGGAAAGTGTTGCAGCCATCACTGGAGGATTCTATATTAGACTTTGTCCTAACAGATAAAGAGGAACTGATTACCAAACTAAATGTTAATGTAGCTTAGGTACAAGTGATTATGACTTGATCACATTTATATTGTGCAAGCTGAATAAAATCCAGACCAGTAATATATATACTTGGTGCTTTAATAGGGCCAATTTCACAAAGCTGAAAACAATTACGAGCTATTAGCAGAGAGGAAGAATTTAAATAGAAAAATGTGAATGATACTTGGGAATTATTTAAGAACACCTTACTAGATGCCCCAAAAGCCACAATCCCGCAACTGAGGAAGAAGGCTGTTCTGGTTAAAAAACAGCCTGGTTTAGAAGGGAAGTGAAGACAGGTATAGAAAATAACATACAACAAATGGAAAAAAGGGAAAGTTGATAGTAATGAATATAAATCAGAAGTTAGGAATTGTAGAAAATTGATAAGGGAAGCCAAGGGACACAAGGAGAATTCCATGGGCAGCAGAAATAAGGACAATAAGGAATTTTAAAAATATTAGGAACAAAAAGAATATTGACAATGGTACTTGTCCAGTACTAGATTGAAATAGTAGAATTATCAATAATAATTTAGAAAAGGCAGAGATGTTCAATAAATATTTCTGTTCATCTGTTAATAATAAAACTCTTTCCATTCTACTAGTATCACTGGAAAATGTTAAACAGAAGTTAGATATTTTTATATCAGCAGGTCCAGATAACTTGCATCAAAGAGTTTTAAAGGAGCTGGCCGAGGTGCTTGCTGCACCATTAATGCCTATTTTCACTAAATTTTGGAGCACTGGGGAAGTTCAAGAAGACTGGAAGAAAGCTCAGGTTGTGCCAATTTTTGAAAAGGGTAATTATAGGCCTGCCAGTCTGACATCAATACCAGGCAAGCTAATGGAGCACCTGATACTGGACTCAATTAACAGTCAGCTAAAGGAGGGTAATGTAATTAATGCAAATCAACATAGTATCAACTATCTTGATATCTTTTTTTGATGAGATTACAAGTTTGGTTGAAGTATTATTTAAACTTCTGTAAGGTGTTTGCCCATTGGTGGCAGCTATATTAGGCCTCCCGTGGCACAGCCACTGCTGCTGGATGCCAGTTGCGGGTTTGCGGGGGGAAATTTTTGCTTATTATCATGCCCCATCCAAGTTCCAGGGCGGCTGAGGAGACAGTATGCGTTACTCAGCTTCCTGGGTTCATCAAATTACATTAAAATCTCCCTGGACTCCAAGGAGATTACTGATGAACCCAGGAAGCTGAGTAGCAAATACCACCTCCTAAGCTGCCCTGGAACCTGCATGGCACATATCAAAAGCTCAGATTCTTCCAGAAGAGAGATGAGCTTCTGAATTTTCCTGCGGGGGCGGCTTAGGGTCTGGGGAGGGGAGGCGCGGCTGTAGCTGGCCTGGGCTCCTCCGGGCAGGTTGGGGGAGGGGTTCAGGGCTCCTCCTAGTACTGGAAGTGTTAACTATGGATATAGCCTAAGTACCACACACAGTATAATACCTAAGCCCATACAGAACACACACACACACACACACACCCCTTTGTCTGGTTGTCAGCTCCCACCTAACAACTACAGCCAAGAATATGGTTTATTTAGTCTTAAAATATACTGGGTGCACGTGCATTACATACTTTAGTGATGAAGTCACATATCAGCAATAATCCACATTAATAAATGAAAATAAATCTTACTACATCATCCCAAGAGATTCTGTTTTGTGTATTTTTAGTTTAAAATAGTAGAGTATCCCCTTGAGTCTTTCAAATGGATAGATGAATTATACAAGAATCTTCCACACTGGAACACTTGGAAAGCATAGCTCTTGCATATTTAAAACCAGGCCTTACTTGGATAGTAAGGTCTTTGGATCAGGGCTTGTCTTTTTTGTTCTATATTTGTACAGTGCCTAGCACATTGGGGTCCTGATCCACAACTGGGGAATCCCAGGCACTACTATAATACAAATAAATAATATGCCTGTGAACCAACATAGATGGTAGGTCTAATTTTAGGTTTACTGGCCTGCTAATAGCAGAGAAAAAACATGTAAAAAAGAGAAACTAAATTACTGCATATAAAACCTGATTGTGAAAAGACACATGCATTACTAATAAAGATGATGCAGAAATTCAATTTTTAAAAGACTAGCGAGACCAGAACTTGTTTATTTTCTCAAAGATGAGCAATACTGATGTTTGGAGAAATGTTAACAAATCAGATTGTAGAAGCAAATGTGTAAATCATAATTGGTTACAGTTGAGTTTAATAAAAAGGGGTTGACTTTGAAAAGGCTATTCATATTTTCTGGAACTCTACATTCCCTTTTCCTTTTCACATAGTAGGTTAAAAATAACTTACACTTTTGATATTCATAACAAAGATCACCAGATCTTGATGATACTGATAAATATACTGATTTCTTGGCAAGTTTGCATGATTGGGAATTAGAATATTTTTGCCTGGAAGCCAAGCATAGTGGATATGGAAAAAATAATTGACACAATAAACATGGAACATAGCTGCAATTTTTAAAGTAATTTTTGAGAGCAAAATTGTGTTTGAAGCCATTTACCACAACTATAGTTGGCACCACTTACCCTGGTAGTTAGCTGATGAGTTGCTTGTTGCAATTTCTTTCCACTGGCTAATATATCTAAGCACATTAAATAAACACACATTCAGTTTAAGGTACAATTAACAAAATCCTGGAAATTAAACACAATTTTATTCTTTTGGGAAGTTAACTTTTTGGAAGCTGAAACATTTCCAAGAAGATCAAGGCCACAGTACAGAACAATGGAGGGAGAAGATTTAAAGTGGGAGAAGCTGGGGCTCATCAGGGCTCTATCATAGATAATAAAGTCCTTCAGAGGGAAAAGAAAACAAACAAACAAACAAAAATACTTACTCTTCAAAGTTAAGTGCATTTGTCCATTGCAACAGTTCATCCACTTCCCATTCCATTACATTGTCTGTTCCTCCTTTCTCAACAGCATTGACGATGCCTTCTGCACTTCTCTGAATTAAGATTGCAGTGGTAGGGTCCTCTGTTTTGACCCGCAAGCTTCCTGCATAATACCTAATAGTGAAAAAAGAATTTGTTTTGCAGGTTGCTTGGAACAGTTATATTTTCTGACGGTAAGGGGCACTATAACCCAACATATTGTCTTATTCTAGCAGAACCAACTAAGGATAACATGGGTGGTCTGTGAATAGAAATATTATGAACAGTCATTATTAACTTTGATTTAATGGTGACATACTGAGGGGAAGAGAATCAAGTATGTGTGTACACAATTTAAATATAGATTCTATTTTTTTCTTTTATCATTTTAATATCAAATATATTAGACTTTTTAATCCCAAATGATCCTCAAAGCACTTTACAAAATGATATAACAGTTATGTAGGCATCACCTTCACCACCACCATATAAAGTGACTTCTGGGTTTTTTAAACAATACAGCACACCATACACAACAATTTGTACACTGGATATACAACTGAAACAGATCTTCCCAGAGGTGACCATTTCAGGCATATGAGAGGGTAAAAAATGACCTATCTCCTAGAAGAAGCTACTTTTATAAATATTTCCCTAAAATGTTAAAGTACCTGTCTTGACCCTGTACGTTAATGATGTCAGGACTATGCCTATGAGAAGGATAATCTAGTAGTAGCCTAGAATAAATGAGTAGATGAAAACCTGAGTGTCCCATTTATACTATATATTCTTAGTTCTTGTCTTTGGGAAATTATTCCCCTTTGTTTAGGAAGGAGGATACTTGCAAGAACACACATGGGCCGACTTGCCTCTTCCTCTCAAAAGAATACATCGTTCTTCATGCCTGCCCCATCTCTCAGTAATGTAGGGAGAAAGAAATCACAAGGTAAAACTGATTGTTGTTGTTAAAGAAAACATTGTTAAACACCACAAACAATCCAACTATTTTAGGCTTATTGAAATTCTTTGGGCATCACACTTCGAAATGATTTGCAACCTCTTTGTGGTGAGTAATGTTATGATATTACATAAACGGAAGTAACTTTAAAAATTATACTACAAAAAGAATTGTGTGTCCCCTGCCTTTTACATATAAGGATGCCATTTGAATTATATATCAGGTCAGAACGGGACAAAAGCTGAACTTCAACCATTTTCAAAATAGAGCGGTATTTCTTTCTTCTATCTCTGTAGGCCAGTGGTTCCCAAATTTTAACAACCTGTGAACCCCTTTCACTAAAATATCAAGTCTCGCGAACCCACTCCGAGAAATGAATATTTCCAGGGATTTTCTCCTTTGTCTGAGTATAAATTATAAAAGCCGTGATCTTGGAAATACAAAATTTGTTTTCATGACATGCTTATTACACACGATTTATTATTAATTATTATTTATCATTACAGTATTTTTATTACATTATGAAAATGGCAACACTGTATAAGTGTTGGGCATTGGGCTGAATAAGTACGGGCATTGCCAGCAGATTGAGGGACGTGATCATTCCCCTCTATTCGACATTGGTGAGGCCTCATCTGGAGTACTGGGTCCAGTTTTGGGCCCCACACTACAAGAAGGATGTGGAAAAATTGGAAAAAGTCCAGCAGAGGGCAACAAAAATTATTAGGGGGATGGAGCACATGACTTATGAGGAGAGGCTGAGGGAACTGGGATTGTTTAGTCTGCAGAAGAGAAGAATGAGGGGGGATTTGATAGCTGCTTTCAACTACCTGAAAGGGGGCTCCAAAAGAGGATGGATCTAGACTGTTTTCAGTGGTACCAGATGACAGAACGAGGAGTAATGGTCTCAAATTGCAGCGGGGGAGGTTTAGGTTGGATATTAGGAAAAACTTTTTCACTAGGAGGGTGGTAAAGCACTGGAATGGGTTACCTAGGGAGGTGGTGAAATCTCCTTCCTTAGAGGTTTTTAAGGTCAGGCTTGACAAAGCCCTGGCTGGGATGATTTAGTTGGGGATTGGTCCTGCTTTGAGCAGGGGGTTGGACTAGATGACCTCCTGAGGTCCCTTCCAACCCTGATATTCTATGATTCTATTATTCTAACACTCTTCCAAAATCTCACTTTCATAGCTTATATCAGTTTGAATAAGCCTGTTATAAGCCAAGGCTCCTATGTTTCATCAAGGATTATCAGATGTGAAACAGCATGAAGGTATTTAAAAAGCCAACTCAAAGAGTTCCTCCTACACAAGCATTCAGGTCTTGAGCAGTCCAGGCAAACAATTAGGGTGGCCAGACAGCAAATGTGAAAAATCGGGACGGGGGTGGAGGGTAATAGGAGTCTATATAAGAAAAAGACTCAAAAATTGGGACTGTTCCTATAAAATCGGGACATCTGGTCACCCTACAAACAATGCACGTTACAACAAAGCTTAAACTTGTTCTTCATCATAATTTTAAAAACAATACTAGCTGCCTATTTAATTTTAAAAACAGCTAAAAATATCCACCTCCCTTTCCATTTCTTATAGGAGTCTTGAAGTTTAAATCTCCTCTGTGTGATAGGTATGCTTGCAAATCTGCTTAGCTCTTGGAAGCTGCTGGCACTGTGCTGTCCGGGGTTCCTAGGAACAGCTCTGTCCGCCATGAGGGAATTTTTTCCTGAGAACCCCTGTAACATTTCATGAACCCCAGTTTGGGAACCACTGCTGTAGGCTTATTCCTTTCTCTGGCATAAGAACATAAGAAAGGCTGTACCGGGTCAGA